CACCCCCCCAAAAGGAGCCAGAGAAGCCAGTGGTGTCACCAGGGGCATGAGTATGACCACACTGCCAGGGACCCCCCAACCACCCCATTCTTCCAATGCTGCTGAGTGTCACAGTATTTCAATGGCTGGGCCTTGTTTTTCTAAGAGAAAGCAAGTTTAGGGTGAAGGCTCAATTGTCTGACATTCACCACAGATCCTCGCATCAAACCCAATCTTCAGGAGAAGCTTGCTACAGAAGAGATCCAGAAGAGGCCATTCCAGAGTACATGGTCTAGAGCTCAATCGGTCTATCCGCCCAACTCCTCTAAAAAGTTCCCAGGCCCTATGACAAGGTCAGGAAATACTGTAAGACCTAGGGCCTTACTACCACTCCGAGGAGCTTGAACAGCCGAAAGGGCCTCCAAGATGATGGGCCTGTAGCCCAGCGATTGCTCCAGGAGTTCGATGAGCAGTGAGAATCACCCAGGAAGGAACACACCAAACTAGTTGGAAAACAGACCTTTATTAGTCTGGCCAGGTGGCACACCAAGAGCCAAGCAGCTCACAGAGGCAACTAGCTCAGAGTCAGAGGCTGTTTTTATAAGGGGATTTGCGGGGAGTTAACACTCAAAACTTACAGGAAGGGGACAAAGGCAAGTGGTCAGTTGATCCAAGCTGGTGGTCATCAATCATGTACTCGGTCATCACGTACTAATGGTCAGCAGATCGATTACCCACTGTTTCACTGATTATGGTGTTCAGAACATTTAGTTATGGGCAAACAAGGAGTGGAGTGATTTACTTCGGGTCTCTGTTTATTGTAGTTTCTCTCTAGTTTCCCAGAACTACCAAGCAGTTACCTATTAACTCACATTTCATCACAGTTGGGACTAGGAATTTAAGATTACAAAGTTATGCAGTCCCACAATACTACTGTAGATCAAGAGGTATGAAACATTGCTTTTGACTTGAGTCTTTTTGGCTTTTTTTTTTCTTTTTTGAGATAGTGTCTTTTGATATAATAATTGAGGTTGGTCTTGAACTCTGTAGCCCAGGATAGTGTCGATCTCTTGAGTGCTGGGATTACAGGTGTGCACCACCACAACTGGCTGTTGTTTTGAGAAAGGGTCTTGCTGTTTTTAGCCTAGGCTGGCCTCTGACTGGACATCCTCCTGCCTCAGCCTCCCATGTGCTGGGATTATAGGCATGGGCTACCATACCCACCTCTTGATTTGTGTTTATTTTCCATTTTTTCATGTCCTTTTGCTGATTTTGAAAGGAATCAATGCTTGGTTTAAAAAAATCAAACACTACAAGAAATGACTTTTATTTTATTTTTCTTTTAATTAATATGTGATAAAAACAGCATGGTACTGGCAAAGAAACAGATCTGAGATCAGTGGAACAGATTGGAAGATGCAAAAACAAATCCAGATGTACTCAGCTACGTCATTTTTGACAAAGGAGCTGACCATCCTCAGTGGAGGAAAGATAGCCTCTTTAATAAATGGTGTTGGAAAAACTGGATCTCAACCTGCTAAAGATTAAAACTGGACCTTTATCTTTCACCACACACTAAATTAAAGTCCAAGTGGATTAAGGATCTAAACACTAAAACAGAAACACTAAACTTGCTGGAAGATAAGTTAGGCAGAACTCTTGAAGACATTGGCGTAGGAAAAGATTTTATGAACAAATCCTCAGTAGCACAGGAACTAGCAGAAAGCATAACTGGGATCTCATCTTATTAAAAAGCTTCTGCACTGCAAAAGAAACCATCAACAGAACTAAGAGACAACCTACAATGTGGGAAAAAAATTTTACCAGCTGCTCTTCAGACAAGGGACTATTATCTAGAATATAAAAAGAACTCAAAACAATCAGCCCCCCCAAAATATAAAGACCCAATTCAAAAGTGGGCATCTGAAATAAACACATTTCTCAGACAAAGAAGTAAAAGCAGCAAGTAAATATATGAAAAAACGTTCCACATCACTGGTCATTCCAGAGATGCAGATGAAAACAACACCTCAGTCTACAAAGAATGGCTGCTGTCAAGAAATCACACAATAACAAATGCTGGCGGGGCTGTGGGAAGAAAGGAACCCTTCTCCGTTGTTGGTGGGAGTGCAGACTGGTGCAACCACTATGGAAATCAATATGGAGATACCTCAAAGAGCTGGGACTAGAGGTTGCATTTGAATCAGCCATCCCTCTGCTGGGTATCTTTCCAAAAGAATTAAAAGAAGTGTGTCACAGTGATATATGCGCACCCATGTTTATAGCGGCACAGTTTGTAATAGCTAAAACTTGGAAACAACCCATTAGCCCCTCAGTTGGAAACTGGATAAAGAAGATGTGGTTTTTCTATAAAATGGAATATTACTCGGCCATAAAGAATGAGAAATTAGATTCCTTCATAGGAAAATGGATACATATTGAGGATACATTCCTAAGTGAAATAAATAAGTCACACATGTGTAAATACCGAATAGTTTCTCTGGTGTGAATAAACTGTAATAGTACATAAGATCCTAATGAGATAACTGACATTGTGAAATGGGAAGAAAAGGGCTAAAGGTGTAGGAAAAGTGGGAAGGATAGGGGAAAGGTAATAAGGGAAAAGGAAAAAATGTGAGAAAATGAAAAGATGGAAATAAAGTGTTTGTAGATGGGGAGGGGAGGAGGGGGGAAGGGAGGGCAGGGACAAGGGATAAAAATGAGAACCAAGACCTGTCCATTCCCATTCAGAAAGCCACCCCCAGTCCTGTGCCTTTCTCCCCAAGCCACCACCCCACTGGCTGCTTCTGCTTATCAGTATCTCAGTCCCAGCTGGACTGTTCTTCCTCAGAGGCCTCTGCTCCCACAAAGGTGGCCTGCACCAGCCCACAGTTCTCTTCTCTCCCCCCCCCGCACCCCCAGAATGGCAGCACAGGGACTTCAACTCCAGAGGACTCCAGGAAATGCCGCCGAAAATCCTGTTCCTGATTACTTACTGCTCTGAGCAAAACAAAGGCAGGGAGAGGCTGCCCCTGACCTTCCCATAAGAACTGGCCAACTACACATCGCCTCCGGGGGCTACATGACCCAAGGAAGAGCAGGCCAGCAAGGACCCTGCGCCCAGCAAACGTAGACACACACCAGCAGACCCTCTTCCAAGGGCAACCCACCTTTCCCCATCATTGCCTCCTGCTCTCTGTGAGCTCTCCCCAAGGGCCTGCGGGTTCACTCTTCTTTTCTGCTCAGCCGGGTGCACCCGGCTGCCTTTCTTCCTGTTCACCTGCCTATGCTGAGTCCCTTGAACAGCGCTTCTTCCAGTTCTCAGAGCACGGACGTTTCTTTCCCCCACACTAGCAACACAGACAGCCCGGCCTCGCAACAATACCCACGGAACGCATGAATGAAATCCGCTCCATATTTCTCAATACTCCTTTTGGAGATGAAGCCCAGGGTCTCAGTCTATCAGTCACATGCTTTTTACCGCCTGCAGATATCTAAACTACTCCCAGCCCCATCCTAATCACTTTATGCGGAGCCACGAAGGACAGCTGCAGAGCTCTGCATCCTCCCAGGAAGAAACTCTGCTCCCCTCCGACACTTCCCTAACGCCTCTTTTGGTAGATTAAAACAAACCAGTAGCTGCTCTTCAACCCAGCAAATAACAGGGCGTGGTGGTGCACGCCTATAATTCCAGCACACTGGGAGGCTGAGGCTGGAGGATCCCAAATGAATCCCAGCCTGGAAAATGTAGCGACTGAGACTCTGGCTCAAAATAATTTTTTAAAAGGGCTAAGGATGTAGCTCAGTACGAAACCCCTAGGGTTCCAGTCCCTGCACTAAAAAAGAACAGACGCCTCTGCCCGGCGTGGTGGCGCACGCCTGTAATCCCGCACTCCGGAGGCTGAGGCAGGAGGATCGCTGTGAGTTCGAAACCAGCCTCGGCTACATAGCGAATTCCAGGTCAGTCTCAACTAAGTAGTGAGACCCTGTCTCAAAAAAAAAAAAAAGACGCCTCTTCCACAGCCCGAGTTCCAGCCATTCCCAGGCGCCTTTCTAAAAGTAGCAGCCTCAGCCGGGTGACCACTTTCGTCACTCCCACTTGGCCCGCCCTCTCCTGCGGGATGGGCGGTGTCCTCGGTCGGACCAAAACGTGGTGACCGCCAGTTTGCGGGGGGAGTGGCTGAGTTACAGGCTTTGCGGGTGGGGACGGCCTAAGTAAACGAAGGCATCTGCCACACTTTTGTGTTGAACGGAGACGTCCTTCTTCTAGTTGTATTGGGTATCTCTCGCTCACCGCGAATTTCTTGTGTAATTTGGAATCGTCCGTTCTTTTGCCCAGTCAGTAGACGCGTCTAAAAGCCAGAAACGGAAAGGGGGAATTTAGGAGTATGCTAAACTTGGCTGGCTAAAGATTAAGATAGCCCAGATAGAACAGTTTGTTAACAAAGTTTTACATGGTATAGTTTTTTTCTTTTCTTTTCTTTCTTTCTTTCTTTTTTTTTTTTTTAGTTACATCATGTCTTCAAGAAATTTCCTATTTTTAAATGATCTCTGGAACCGGCCGGCACCTTCAATAGTCCGGTCTACCCGAATAGCCCGATGGGAGAAGGAAGGCCGTGGGTACCATGTTGGACGGAACCATCTGCTGCCAGAAATGGGGTAGTGATAGTTCCCCCATGACTTCAGTGGCTGCTCAGAGCAACTTTATTGGTAGGAACTGAGTGCTTTCTTTTCACGTAATCACCGTTGGGGTTAGTGGTAGACACTCTCCTGCGCACCAGAGTTCCCCCGGGAGTTTTGCGAAGAGTTGGGGTTTGTGTTCCCCTCTGCGCCGCAGTTGGTACAGTCCGCCGGCGCACGCACATGGTTAGGAGCTAGCCGGCGCGGGGTGGTCTGGGAGTCGGAAGCGCGCGGCGGAGCCGGGCGAGAACTAGCGCGGG